GAATCTCGTCATGTGTTTTATGGCCTCATACTCCGCTAGGAACTCACCGTAAGCTGTTAGGAGGGCCATATCGACATCCAACTTTTTACGAAGCCGCGATAACGCAGAGAGAGCGCTTCTCAGCGACTCTCCCAGCTCCGATTCCGGATGCGATTTTTTAAACGGGAGCCGAACTACGAACCGACCGTCCGTCGTTCGCTGCACCGTTTGAGAGAAGTGTGCGTTGCACTCCTCTTCGTCTTTTGTCTTCTGTACCTTCACCGGTACAGATTCTATCTCCCAGAATCGACGAATCGCATCGTCCAGCGATTCTAGAACGTTGCAATGGAACGTCCTTAGCGTATTCTGGGAAATTGCGCCTTCACAGGGTCCGAAGAGCACCCAACAGAAAACGGTATTTTACGCGATCGGAGAATGATCGTCGATCCGACGGATTCTTTCTCTTATTATTTGCGCGTATACTTCGGCTCTCAGCAGTACATCGATTTGCTCGTTTGCCGCAGGCTCTGGATCTGCAAGTCTTACGTCCTTGAATAATCCATTTAAAGGGATTCTTGTCATCGGCGGCTTGTAGTCGGTAATCTTGTGAACCACTCGCTTTTACCAGCGGTGCATTGGTCATCACTGAACTCAGTCTTACCTCTACACTATGTTTTATGTCCGCGGTCCGTCCACCCACCGCACTTACAATTGTCTTCTCACCTTTCAAAATTCGGTAGAACCGAAGACAATATGCTACCACGTAGAGTAGACGACTCCACCTCGAAAAGCGAGAGAGTACCTCCCATTCTGTTTTCGGGATATTTACGTGGGCGTAAATGACACGCATCCCTTCCTCAGTTTCAATTGAGGCTGGCGTTTTCGGCCATTCCTCTTCTGGTTGTTTTAACCAAGATGGACCAGAAATCCAGAAGGTTGAACTGAGAAGTTCCTCAATTACCACACCGCGTGAATTTAAATCAGCTGGGTTGGAGCGAGTTGGAACGTGCCTCCAAATCGCAGTCGGCAAAGCCGTTTGTATTTTCGACACTCGATTGGCGATTATAATTTTCCATGTTGACGGGTGTTTCCTCAACCAAGCCAACGTTATCGTTGAATCTGTCCAGCAACAAACACGCTGCACTTTGACCGCAAGTGCATTCGTGATATGCTGGAGCAGTTCAGCAAGGAGGAGGGCCCCGTTCAATTCCAGAACTGGGACCGTGAGCGTTTTAATCGGAGCGACTCGCGACTTGGCCATCAACAACGATGTTTTAACACCGTTTTTAGCCGTCGTCACTCGGAGATACACGGCGGCTGCATACGCAGCCAAAGATGCATCGCAAAATCCGTGCAGCTCCAGGGAGATGACCTCCTCTTCGACTCCTACCCATCGGGGAATACGCAATTCATTCAATTTTGCCCAGTCCTCACAGAATGAGTTCCACGTTCTGTGAGTGGCAACTGACACATTATCGTCCCAGTGGATTTTTTCCAGCCACTGTGACTGCATCAACACTTTCGCGCGAATGACCACCGGTGAAAGCCAACCGAGAGGGTCATACAGTTTCGCGATCTCCGAAAACAAAGATCTCTTTGTTGGAGAGGTGGCTGACGGTTGGAATCGCGTCAAATTGAAATAGAAATAATCACCCGATGGTACCCATCGCAGTCCAAGAACTTTCAGTTCCGAATCCTCAAATAACGAGAGATCCACTGCGTGGGAATGCTCCGTTTTTGGAATGTTCCTCAGTAAATCCTCTGAGTTTCCTGCCCACTTCCTTAAAGGGAATCCTCCTTTGGATAACAGCTGGCACACCTGTTTCCGAATACATTCCAATCGGCTTTTATCAGGTGCACTTAAGAAAACGTCGTCAACATAGACGTCTTTCTCAATCACTGGTACTGCGAGAGGAAAATCTTTTCCCTCCTCGCGTACAAGTTCGAGTAGTGTCCGCATAGCTAAGTATGGGGCACAAACCGTACCATACGTTACGGTGTTTAATTCAAAAGCTGAGAGACGCTCAGTTTTTGGTGCACGCCAAACTATGCATTGAAAGCGACGATCTTCCGGGGCCACGAGAATTTGACGGAACATTTTCTCAATGTCCGCGACCATTACGAATTGATACAATCTCCAATTCGTTAAAATAATGGTCATGTCTCGTTGTAGCTTCGGCCCGACATGAAGAAGGTCATTCAGCGAGCATCCGCTCGCTGTGGAACTCGTCGCATTAAAGACCACTCGTAATTTCGTGGTTGCACTTTCCTCACGAATTACGGCCCTGTGCGGAATGTACAGCCGTGACGATTCGATTGATCTCAATCTCGTCATATGTTTCAAGGCCTCATACTCCGCCAGGAAATCATCGTATTCTTTTACGAGGGTCTGATCGACATCCAGTTTTTTCCGGAGTCGCGTTAACGCAGAGAGAGCGCTTCTTAGCGAATCTCCCAGCTCCGATTCCGGATGCGATCTTTTAAACGGAAGACGAACAACGAAACGACCGTCCGTTGTTCGCTGCACCGTTTGCAAGAAGTGTGCATCGCACTCTTCTTCTTCCTTCGTTTTCTGTACCTTCATTGGTACAGATTCTAATTCCCAGAATCGACGAATCGCTTTGTCCAGCGATTCTAGAACGTTGCAATGTAACGTCCGTACCGAATTCTGGGATGTTGCGCCTTTACAGGGTCCGGAGAGCACCCAACCGAATACGGTATTTTGCGCGATCGGAGAATGATCGTCGATCCGACGGATTCCTTCTCTTATTACTTGCGCGTATACTTCGGCTCCCAGCAGTACATCGATTTGCTCGTTTGCCGCAGGCTCTGGATCTGCAAGTCTTACGTCCTTGAATAATCCATTCAGAGGGAGGCTTGTCATCGGCGGCTTGTAGTCGGTAATTTTGTGAACCACGAATGCACTCGCTTTTACCAGCGGTGCATTGGTCACCACTGAACTCAGTCTTACCTCTACACTATGTTTTATGTCCGCGGTCCGTCCACCCCCAAGCCCAGTTACCACCGCTGAGGTTTTTCGGCGTGCAAGACGTAGGTCATTCGCTACGTCCGCCGAAATAAAGGACGCTTCTGACCCCTGATCCAGGAGCGCGCGAACCACTCTCGATGTTCCATTCGGTGCGTGCTCTCGCACCAAGGCCGTTGCTAGGAGGACCGATCTGCTCGCTGAGCCGGTCATCGTGCCACAATTAGACGATACCGTCTTTTTTGCGGCACCCGGTTTGGAGTTTTTCCTCTCCTTCCCAGAGGTACTTGGCTTTTTCGCATTTCCCTTCGAAAAGGGTTTCCCTCGCGAGCTCGCCGCTGACGTTACACTGCTGCTTGACTCTCTACTGCCGAAATGCAGTCACGTGTGGTGGAGTCGACCGCACCGTTTGTATCCCTCAGTGTTACCACATGAGTTTGCTTCGTGTTGCCTCGACAGACAGATAATGCAGTGTTCACTCATCCTGGCATATTTATACCGTTCTCTCGCACTCAACCTTTGAAATTGGACACAGTTTCCCAGGGAGTGCCTTTCGGTGCAGAACAAGCACGGGGCTAAGGAATTCTCCTCAGTCGCCTCCTCCAACGTGCTCGCATGAGAACGCACTCGAGACTTCTTGAAGTGCGGTTTCTCCACCTTCTGACCTTGAGGTTTTGCCTGGATAGATTGCAGTGCCCCTGCCTTCTTATCCAGAAAACCCAGGAGTGTATCGAATGCAGGATAATCATCGTTATCCTGTATTGACTCTTCCCACTCCAAGGTCAGTCGTTCGTCGAGCTTCTCGGTTACCTTATCGACCAACAGGATTGCCCCATTGATCTACTGGACATTCCCATCGTTGCAGTGCTTCCACTGTCTGACGAATGCCTATGGTGACCTGCTCGATGCTCTCCAGTTTGTCCCATTTAATGGACTTCAAGGTTCGTAGCGGTGTTAACAACGCTTTTATCACGACTCGCTTTTTCGCGAAGAGTCGTTCCAGCGTGTACCACGCTACCTAGAAATTCCGATCGCAAATTTCCAGATTGCTGATTGACCGCAAAGCTACGCCATCGAGGCACGTGCGCAATTGTTGCAATCTCTGCGAATCGGATAAGT